TCTTCCTCAGGCAGAGCCTGCTCTCTCCGTTCACTCCCACCCACCACCTGCGCCGTGCCCGAGTGTCCAATCCTGGCTGTCACACGCGTGTGTGCACACCCAAGATAGAACCACAGAGGTGCACGCTGACTTGCAGGACCCGTAGAAACGAGCTCTGCTACCTCGAGGCACTAGTGCCTGGGAGCCCTGCTCGCCTGGACGCACGCACACACGTGTCCAGCCTGCGGTCACGCATGTGGAAGTATCTGAGCCTCGCCCAACCCCCTCACATATCACAAACAGGTTGTCACGCTGACGTGCCTCCAGTCTTGCTCATCGACGAGATGGGGAGATAAAACTTTTTAAAAATAAGTTTCTTGGTAAAAATTAATTTAAAAAGGTCTACTTTGCAAGCAGCAGTCACTTTGTTCTTGTAATATGCAAATAATACTGTTACATCAAAAGGTGGGTTTAAATAAGCTTAATTTAAGTTTCTTCTTGAAGTTTTTAGAAAAATAGACTTCTCCGTTACTTGATGGCTCCTCCACTCTTCCAGTTCCAGGGGATGCAGAGGTCCCCGTCCTGCATGACGGAGTAGTAGCGGGACACGCACAGGTGCATGCCCTGGAGGTGAGGCAGCGGCTGGCCCAGGAGCCTCCGGCAGCAGTCGGCCATCTGCACACTGGAGACACTGGGCTCCTTGTACAGCCTCCCCAGGGACAGCTCCTTCCTCGCGGCCTGGGTTAGCTCACCCTCCACCTCCTTCAGCCTGTGGGCACAAGGCGGGCACTGCCAGTCAGAGCCACGCCACGGGGGCAGCGCAGGCCTCAGGCTCCGCCCACAAGCGTGGGGCACCAGCTCGGGGGTGCGTGTCCTGCCCCACCCCCAGGGTGATTTCTCACTTTCTATCTCTGTCTCTCTGGCCCATGCCCTAGAGCAAAAAAACCTCTCTAAAAAACCATTTAGGGGAGGCAGATGGCATGGAGGTTCCAGTGGCTGGATCCTAATGGGTGACGGCATGGTCAGAGTCCTGGACTCGGTGGCTTGAAACATACTAGGCACGTGTGCGTGCGTGTCCAAAATCCCAAGAAGAGAATGGAGAGGGACTGCAGTGGGCCGGCCCCTCTGGGGAGGGAGCTGTCTCACTGTGCACCCCCGTACCTGGCAGGCGCACACACGCCGTAACAACAATCTAAAATGAAGGGCCACTGGGTGGCTTGATGGTTAGGGCAGCTGGATCCCACTTGGCTGACTGGTTCAGGTCTCAGAACCTGTGGCTTGAAAAACATGCAGGTGTGTGTGCGTGCGTGTGCGTGCCCACAATCTCGAGAGAGTGGGGAGGGACTGACTGCAGTGTGGACGTCCCCCATGGTGGGTGCTCTCCCCCTCTCCAGTAAGCGCACACGATTCCGGCAAAAGGGAATGTTAAATAGAGACGGCCTATGGACCCGGTGAAGTGGCCTTCCTTCCCTTTGGTGCCATACTTTTCTACCTGGAGAGCTTTGTCTGATGTCCGGACTCTTCACTCCACCCCTGAGCTCATTTCGTATTTCCAGGCCCGATTCGGAGGCAGTGGCCATGGCCCTGTACTGAGGTGTCACGGCACTGCCACATCGAGGCCTTGCAGGGCGGAGACGGCCTCGTGAGACGCCCACACGACGGTCACTTCCCGCCTAATACCGGCTAGCCCCCGCCTGTGCCCCCCCGCCTGCGCCCGCGTGCACCCATCGGGGGCTGCCCTGCGGGGACTTACTCCTCCTTCCTCTTCGTCCTCTCTCGTGCCTGCTGAGCTTTAGCGAGGATGAACCACCGGAGACTCGCCGGGTCGCAGAGCACGGGCACATTAAAGTGCCCGAGTTCGTGCAAGCTCGGGGCGTATCTGTCACTGCAATGATGCACACAGGAAAGGAAATTCACTGGCTGCTCCCGCATCCCCACAACATGCCTTCTCAGTCCCCGAGGAGCCAAGGAGCCAGCAGGCGGCTTAGCGGTTAAGGCCGGACCCCCACACGGTGGACGGCAACCTGAGTCCCAGACTGCCAGCTTGGAGCTCACGGTGTGTGTGCCCAAAACCGAAGGGGAGCGTGGAAGAGAAGGGACTGTGGTGTGGTCTGGCAGGGGGGATTTCTCGCTTTTTATCTCTTGACTGAGTGCAAGCACCACATAGCAAAAAAAAAAAAAGAGAAAATTTTTAAAAAGAAAAGCCAGCTTTGATTTACAGCAACAGTGGCTTTGGGTTTTGCTGCCCTCGCACCGAGCCCCATGGCCTTCCTTAGGAGAGAGGCCAGCCAGACGGCGGGCGGCAGGCAGCGGCAGTGTGCCAGGGCCTCTGGAGGCACCCCGTGAGGAAGGCCTCACACCGGAGACAGGGGCCTTCACCACGGCTGGGAGGGCTGGGCACTCACGCGTGAGCTGGGCTGGCAGGGGTGGGCAGGAGCGTCAAGGCCTATTGGGCTGCTCGCTGTGACTCAGGGAAGAAAGAATTTTTGAGAAAAGAGAGAACAAGAGTGCATTTAAGTGCTTAGCACAGTGCCTAGCAGACAGCAGATGCACAAAAACGTGGCTACCGATTTAACATTAGTTTTGTCCTTAATTAACTAATTAATTAATTAACTAATTTTTAATTTTGACCAGTGAGAGAGAGAGAGAAGGAAAGTGAGAAAGCAAGCTGCCAGGTCCAGGACTTGAACCATGGTTGACCATATGGGAGTCCAGCATCTTTACTACCACGCCACCTGTTGGCCCCAGGCTGAGTGTTAACCCTAGAAAGCCTTGCCCAGGATTGAGTCTGCCCTGCATTCAGAGGTTCCGGATTCAGATGGAGACCCTCGCCCTTCTCGTGCACGAGAGGCTGGTCCACAGGCAGTCCCGTCCTTTTCAACTCCTGAGACCCGCACGCCGGAACATGAAACCACCGAGCACGCCCACGCCCGGGGAGACCGGCCCAAGCGGCCTGGCTTCAGCTACTACCTGTCGAGGATCATCTGCAGGCCCTGCAGGCTGCGGGGGTGGAAAGCGGCTCTGCTCCTCAGCAGTCTCTGGTGGAAGACGTCCAGGAGAGAGTAGTACTCTTCAAGGGTCAGCACCGGCTGAAGTTCCTCGAGATACACCACTTGCAGGCCCCCTAGAAGGTAGCTTATTTGATCTTCTAGAAGCATCAGCTTCCTCCGAAGGTCAAAGTAACTTGGCAACCTTTCAAAAAGCTGCAATATTAGAAAAGAGAAGAAAAAGTCTTATGTTACTACAGTGACTCAGTGCTAGGGCTGCAATGAGCTGACATGGAGACATTTCCAAGTTATTTTCCTAGAAGGAAAGTCCATGTGCAAGGAAGGAAAGGGGCAGTCCGACAGAGACCTTCCCATATGCAAACGGCCAGTGTGAAGCTTAGGGCTTTGCAGAAAAGAGAAGCACACCCCGAACCAAAGTCCTCAGTATAAGCAAGCATATGTATTTCAACCCCAGATCTGTTCCTTCAAAATCGAGTGCAAATTAGCCAATTTAACCACAGGAAACACGGACGTGTCCTACTGTGTACGGGGCGTGGGAAGGAAAGAGCCTGCATTTGAATCCAGGTGCTAAGGGCCGCCTCAGGGTGAGTGGTGCACGGGAAGCTGGAGCAAGGCCCCCAAGGCAGTCCAGCTGGAGGGGTCTTAAAGGGCAAGCAGGGGGGGACCAGCAGGTGCCGTAATGGCCATGTCACTGGACTCCCACGTAGTTGATCGCGGGTCGAGTCCTGGACTCAGCGGCTTAAAACTCACGCTGGGTGCGTGTGTGTGCCCAAGATCCCGAGAGGAGAATGGAGAAGGGACTGTGAGGTGGCCTTCCCCCCGGGGGGTGATTTCTCGCTTCTGTCTCCCCAATGAGCACATGCACCCTATAGCAGAAATCTCTAAGAAAAAGGCAAACAGGACTTAGAAAAGGGACGTCAGAGTGGGAGTGCTCTGGGGAAAGAGGAGCACGGGCAACGTGGAGGTGGGAGGGAACGGCATGAGCACTGGGCATGGCGGGGCCGGCCGGCCACACAGCAGCTAAGAGCTGTGCACAGGGTCCAATCCCACACGCCTAACGCGGTTCAAATCCCGGCCCTGGCAGCTTGGACATAGTAGGCGCGTGTGTGTGTGCCCCAAATTCTGATAATGGAGGAAGGGAGGAGGTGGCACGTGACCACGCCCCTGTGGGGTACGCCTTCCCCTCTGTCTCCAGGGAGGGTGCGTGTCCTCTGGCAACGACAGAACAAGGAGTTGGGGGCTGAGTCTGACGAGTCTTCGGGTCGGTGGAGAGGGAGCCTTCGAGCGGGCTGGGGCAGGGAAGGGCCATTACGGATTTAGGTTTTCTGTCGAAGGCTGAGGTCTGAAAGAGGTATCTCAAATCTACTAGGACCAAGAAAAATCCCAGGAGAGTAATGGACAAGGGACTGAGGCGTGCTGTCCCCCAGCGGGGTGACTTCTCACCTTCTCTCTCACTGTCTCACTCTCTCCCTGGCAAGCGTCTGCGCCCCGTAGCAAGACCGAACAAAACATCTCCACGGCATGCCAGCCACCCCACTGCAGGCATCTGCCCGGGAGGAACTGTCTGCGTGTCTGCACTCAGACCGCAGTTACCCGTCACTGCCCAGTCGGACGCAGCCCAGCGTGCGTGAGCAGGGCACTGGGCGGCCGGACAGGCTTACCAACTCAGTGTGACGCCGCAGCGCGGCAGGACGGACATGCCCAGTTCATGCGGCAACGCAGCTGGGTCTCAGAGTGAGCGAGCAAAAGACGCCAGGCAAAAAGTCCGCGCATGCTGTGAGCCCACGAGTGAGACCCTGGAAAATACAAACTGCCCTACAGCGAGGGGCAGACCCAGGGCTGCCAGCGGAGGCCAGCCACGTTCTCACGGGCATCGCTGCAGAGCTGACCAGGTCACACGTGGGACAGCTGAGAATGAGCAAAGCAAACCGAGTGCAGGTGTACGGCCATTTCCTGAAGAGACGGCACCGCTCTGGGATGACAACCGCTTCAACTCGGGCTTTCCTCTTCCGTGTTCACTGCGTGACATCGAGCGTGTGAGCGAACACGGATGTGACGACTCACCTCGCAGCGTGGTCTGAACTGAGGGCGTGGGGCTCAGGCCAGGAAGGCCTCTGGCTCCCATACTCACCTTGGCCCAGTCGTGGTGGACGTCCACTGTCCCCAGCATCACGTGGCCCACGGCGCTCACGCCCGAGCGGTCTGTGAATATGACCGTGCACCCTAAGGACAGAGACACACAGCTTTGGCCACGGTCCCGGTCCCGAGAAGCGTGTTCCCTCATGGCCGTGCAACAAGCACGCAGACGGGTGAGCTCAGGGTCCAGTCTAGCAGCGAACAGTCGACTTCCATGTGCTGCTTCATTCAAAGGGACAAGCGCCGAGCTCAGCTGGGACAGGCACGGCCTCCCCAACAACTCGGGTGTGGCCGGCGCCCGCAGCACTTAGGAGGGAGTGGGGGCTCACCTTTTGCCTTTCTCAGTGCTTCTGAACTCTGCTGCGCTAAGCGGCCCAGGCTGTGCAGCTGGCTGCAGCGGTGGGCCACGCCCCAGCTCCTCTGCCACCTGCAGCAGAGCAACGCATCAGTGAGCAGGACCCAGCACCCGGGGGGCGCCCTCGCCCCGGCTGCCTGACTGCCGGGAAGGCCATGAGCGTCTCCCTGAAGCTGTACAATGTGCTTCAAGCGATCTTCGGTGTCCGTTTGGATTTTTTTTAACAAAAGAATTATTTAGTTTTATTTATGATGACTATTTTTTAAAAAATTTGAATAGGGAGAGGCAGAAAGAGAGAGAGATGGAAAGTGAAAAAACAAGCCAGCAGGTCTGGGACTCGAACCATGGTTACCCATGTGGGAGTCCAGCACCTCAACCAGCACGCCACCTGCCGGTCCCCTAGTTGATTTTTTTTAAAGAAACAACCAAGTGGAAAATACTGAACACTTCTTCAGTAGACGGCCTCTGTGCGGCTGTTCTGAGTGAAGCCGGGTCTCCATTTGCAGGAGTCCCGGCCACTTCTCCGGTACGTGGTGAAGGTGTGTGTCTGGCCACTTCTCCGGCACACAAGCAGAAAAGAAGCCACTTAAATACATTTCAAAGAGCAAGGTGAAACTGGAGGGGAAAAAATAACAGAGTATACCTATACAGTTATACTATACAGGTATCAAATGCCTACCTTTACTTCACCACCTCCACCAGCACTCAGAACATTTCTCCATCCTTGGCCACTTCTCCGGTACGTGGTGAAGGTGCGTGTCTGGCCGCTTCTCCGGTACGTGGTGGTACGTGGTGAAGGTGCGTGTCCGGCCACTTCTCCGGTACGTGGTGAAGGTGCGTGTCCGCCCGCTTCTCCGGTACGTGGTGAAGGTGCGTGTCCGGCCGCTTCTCCGGTACGTGGTGAAGGTGCGTGTCCGGCCGCTTCTCCGGTACGTGGTGAAGGTGCGTGTCTGGCCGCACCACTTTACACTCTCCCACTCAAGCCCCAGCCCAGTCTAGCCCAGCCTGGAGCCCCAGTCGATCTGCAAACAGTCCACGTGTGTGCGTGTGTGCCCCAGGTCCTAAGGGCTGGAGGGTGGGGAAGGGGGTTCGCAGAGGATGAGCCCTCCTGGGGTGCTCCCCTCTCTCTCATGGATCCACATGAAACAAGCAAACAGAGGCCCAGAGGGTGTGGCTCCCGGATCCCATTTGGCTGCCTGTTGAGTTCCAGACCTGGGTGCTGGAAACACGTGGGCAAGTGTGTGTGTGCCCAAACTCCCGAGGAGACTGTCGCATGGCTCTCCCCCCAGGGA